AGTCGAGGACTAAACCGGTCGTAAGTCGAGGACTTTCCCTGCCCGGGAGCGCCGCGCATGCGTGGTTCCGCCCCCTGCGCTGGCTGAGGCGTAGCTGGCAAGCGGCAGAGACCACCAGCTGGCCCAGCCCAAGGGAGGTAAGGCACCCGCCGGAAAAGGGGAAAAAAATGGCGGACAAAAAAAATGGTGGACAGCCTTGCTTGGTGACCCCCGTGAAATGGTCGATCGACCCCAAATGGGGTCCCGACCCACAGGTTGAGAACCACTGCTCTAGTGGTTCTTTTTGTGATACGTTCAACTACGGTATCCTTCTGGACTATCTGCATAGGTTGAGACTGGAGGCACTGATTTGCAGTGGTTAAGCTACCGGTACTATGTTTTAAGATGTCGGGGGCTCATTTTTTTCTTTTAAACTTTTACATGAAAATGCACAGAAAGATCATTTATCAGTTAAGAGTGTGGCATCTCCAACATGTTGATGATATTTCAGTGTATATTGCTAAATTAAGCCTGCCAAAGTCTTGTCCTTATGGGTGAAAGTCATAGCCAAGAGGCCCCTCTTTGGGGAAGGATCTTGCTCCAATGACTCACACCATTATCACTGCTGGGTATAATACTGTGTTACATAGTGCTGCCCTTGAAATTTACTGAGAAAGTGCAATAAGTTCAAAATCCAGTGACCTACCTCTCCAGTGACTTCTCTTTTAGTGCTCAATGTCCTGGCCGTATTACATCTGTATTGTCTTCCTTGCATTGCTTATTAGTAAGCTTCCTAGTACAATTCAGAGTGCTGTTTTTAGCCTATAAGGCCCTTTCTGGCTTGGCACCTAGATACTTCAGGACAACCAGAATCTTAAAGAATGAAGCAAGCACAACATTAAGACGAGCATCCACTCTAAAAATGTATTGCCTTGAACTTTTATTTTTAAGTTTTTAAACATGCTGTTTGCTGTGTGCTTAGGTTATCTGTTCTTGCATTCTTTTTTAATTTAAAAATAGTCCAATAATAACTCTTGTTTTCAGTGTTGAAAATTTGAAAATGTAATGCAGAAACAGAAATCAACATTCAGGCTGTAGAGTAAGAATATTCAGCTTGGGAGGAGTGGCTAGTTGAAACACTGACCGGTAATCCTTCACTAGTACGGAAGATAAGTAGCAACATTCTGGTGGGAGATCGTACTTCAGAAGAGCAACTTTAAGTGAGAGTAACATGAAAACCACTTGGGTTAGGCCGCAGTGTTTCTCAACCTTGACAATTTTAAGGCATGTGGACTTCAACTCCCAGAATTCCACAGCCAGCAATGCTGGCTGTGGAATTCTGGGAGTTGAAGTCCACATGCCTTAAAATTGTCAAGGTTGAGAAACACTGGGTTAGGGTAAATGTTACCCTACTTTTTTCCCTGACCATATTTACTTCAGAGATTTTCTTTTTTTAATGAATATTGCCTGAAAGATTATGTCCCCATCATAATCTATCTTCATAGGCTTCATAGGAGAGGCTTTTGTGATCATGAAAATATAATCCTGAAATCTGATTGTCTGCATTGTCTTCAGTGAGACCCACAGCACAGCAAAGTACTTGAGAGGTGCCTTGGCTATGAGAGAAGCAATAATTTCACCTGGTTCTGTCTCAATGGGGAAGCTAACCAATGATGAATAGACTACCTGCTGTCTATCAGCCTACTTATGCTTGGATGTTACAGGAGGGAATGACAAGTGTCTATATTTTACTACTGTATAAAAAAGTTATAAAATGTAGTTCACTATTTAGAGACAAGGGAAAGAAATTGAGACCCAAAATACCGTTAGAAGTGACATGCCCAACCCCATTTTATTGCAGGGACAAAGAAACACAGGATAATGACTAAAACATTTACTTTTATTCAGAACATCAAGGTTCTGTTTCTTGACTTATTTACATAAAGGATTTATGGGAAACAGATATGGGAAAGACAAAACAGATCAGGAGGACAAGCAAATTGTGCCTTCTACATGTTTTGGGCTGTAGATCCTATGACTTCTTGGCATTGACAGTCCTGGCTAGGGATTGTAGCAATTGAAGTTCAAAATAATTAAACCTTAGATTGCTTACTTTAAGTGAAACAAAACCGGATTGGGTAGACAGTTAGCAGCAGCATCACTTTTAATATAGTCATTCAACCAAAGCATAGAAATTACAAGCTGTTGGGTTCGTGTGTTTGTATGCCTGTAATGTGTTATATGTCCATATGTAACACATGTAACATATGAGTCCACTATCCAGTTGTCGGTTGTCAGCGAGAAATATAAAAAAAACCCTTAAAACCTAAATTCTTTCTGTCCTTCTAAATTAATCTTTGCCAACTACTGTAGCAATCTTCCGTTGAAATTAAACAATTTATATAATAGACAAATGTATTTCCAAGGAATTGGCTAAATGTTGTCTTACACAATTGGCTACCAGGCAAAATTTAGACATTGCATAAGGTACTCTGCCAGTCATTCAGAAAGTACATAACAATTTAACTTATTCCCAAGAATAGTTACAAACAGTTCCTTTTCTTCTGTCTGTCTATCTCTTTATTTTCCTTCCTTCCTTCCCTCCCTCCCTCCCTCCCTCCCTTCCTTCCTTCCTTCCTTCCTTCCTTCCTTCCTTCCTTTCTTCTGACTTTTTTACTTCCTCTCAGTGTTGGTGATTGACTGGACAAGTGCCTGCAGGTTTTTTGGGAAGATTTCAGAAATGATTTGCTATTGCCTCTTTCCTAGAGTTGAGAGAGAGTGACTGGCTAAAGATAACCTGGCTGGTTTTGTGCCTAATACAGTACTGGAACTCACAATCACTAGGTTTTTAGTCTGATGCCTTAATTATTGCACCAAACTGTCTCTCTATAATTAATTCATATTGCCCTATAAAGGGAGCAATATACTTTCTAATGAGTTCTACATTTTTTCAAAAACTAAAGAAAAACAGAGCATGACACAAGCCACAATGGCATATCTAGTCATATCAATTATCATAATTTGTGTTTAAGGAGAGCCCAATGCTGATCAAAAAGACCTTTCTCCCTTACTAATGACTTCTTAACTATAATATTTGTTTTGGTCAGAGGTCAGCTATCCATATCCCATGTGAAATTGCACATTTACTTAAATTGAAATCAGAGAGGCTAAAATATTTTTATTTATGGTGGAAATGTTAGAAATCTGACAGTTGCGGCCCAAGATCTGTCTCATGGTTCTTTTTATTTTATTTTTTTAATTATTTGCTTTGTATTAATGTTTAGAACAGGGGTATCCAACCTTAGCAACTTTAAGACTTGTGGACTTCAATTTCAGAATTCCCAAGCCGGCGTGTTTGCCTGAGGAATTCCGGGAATTGAAGTCCACGAGTCTTAAAGTTGCCAAGGTTGGATACTCCGGTTTAGAACAAGGCAATACTTTATATGGATGCTTATGTTAATTTGGTATCATAGTTATTTATCATCGCTCTCACATCTAAGCACCAAATATACTGTGTATTCTATCATTTTCTATTAGTGCTGCTGTCTTTTTTCACTTGAAGTGTTGCATTATTTATGGCTATTAGGCTCCAATTCCAAGATACCATTTTTCCATTTCAATGCAAGAAAGATGGATCCCCAGTCCCAGACTGAATTGCTTCATTTAAACAAATCTAAAAAAGGAAGACGGTTTGTTTACCAAGTCTACTTATACTAAGAAGCAAAGTACTGTAGGCAGGTTGCTCTCCATCACTTTTTCTTTGAACAGGTAGACGAACTTCCAAAGAAAGCACTGAATAAATCACCAATAATGCTTGTTTTCTAAGAAAGCCTCTGGAGGATAAGTCAGGGGTAGAAATATTCTTGTACATAAATATAGGATAATGGTTTGCAGCATGCAAGGTTCTGTTTTTGTTTTTGTTTTTTTTGTTCAAAGAATCTAATTGAGGTGTGGCAGAGAGGTGTTCATGAGATTAAATCAATAATCTAGTGAAACAGTTCTCGTGTCCCTAATTTGGAGCAATGGCTAAAAGAGACTAGGACTAAGAAGCTCTGATTTCTAATTTGTCTCCAGTCATGAAAAATACTGGGTAACTTACAGCAGTCACTCTTTCTTAATTCATTCTAATTTATAGGATGTGGGTGAAGGGAAAAGAAGGGACGGGGAAGTTATTCCTAAAGAAAAGGCAGGATATAAATCTAATAAATAAATCAGTCTTTTGAGGTAGCCCAAACAAGAAGTATCATGAGCATTATTAATGCTACCTGTATTGTAAGGTTACAGTAACATAATCTTTCAAGTCGAAAGTACCTATTTCCCCCCCCCCACACACACACACCCCTTTACTCTCCTGAAAACTAGGAGGGGTCCCTTCTGAAGCATTTTTTTTTCACCCCCATTCCTCCTTCGGACTCAGATTGTGTCTATCAGACTGTTACCTAGGCTGAAACTTTTCCCCCTGTCTTCTATCATTCTCATAAACTATTGCAGTCATCTACAGTAAATACATGTTTTATTGGCTAGTAATATTGGCTGGTTGATTCTGATTGCGCACGGTCACTCATGCCCTCGTTACCTCCCGCCTGGACTACTGTAATGCTCTCTACATGGGGCTCCCCTTGAGGAGCACCCAGAGGCTCCAACTGGTCCAGAATGCGGCCGCGCGGGCGGTGTTGGGAGGGACTCGTCGCTCCCATGTAACACCGCTGCTGCGCGAGCTGCACTGGTTGCCGGTGGCCTTCCGGGTGCGCTTCANTAGGGAATTTTAGTGGGGTTTTTAAGGGTAATTTTAAGGGTAATTTTAAATGATTGGCCTTTTCAAATATTTTCTTTTAATTTGGTTTTAATGTAGATATTTATTGTATTGTGGTTTTATAAGGCTGTGAGCCGCCCTGAGTCCGGTGAGGAGAAGGGCGGGGTACAAATTAAATTATTATTATTATTATTATTATAAAGTTTACATCAAAGAAAACCAGAATTAGCATTTCAATATTTCCTTTGCTTTTTTCCCCCCCAACAAGTGTCCTGACTAGCTATGAGGATTCCCAACTATTCCTTGATGGGCCCTTTCAGAGGACATATGAGTATTAAAAGCAGTCGTAAGTATTTAACATTTTCAGCAAGAGAAAAGTTATATATTCCAGTCTAATAGTCTTAATAATGTAAACTGTCTTCAGAAATGACAAAAATATTGTTTACTTCATATAGGTATCCTTCAAAATGAAAGTAGCTAAAAATTCAAATATGTAAATATGGTACCATTTGATTAACATATTGGGGTGCTTAAGGTGATTCAGAATACAATCTCAAATCATTTCTTTAGAAATGCAGGATATGGTTTGTAACTATTTTAGTTTTAGTTTAGTTTTTCAGGATCATTATTTCATCCAGGTAAGCCAGGTAAGTAATTATAGTAAGCAGGCAATAGAGTTTGGGGAAGATTGAAAACTAAGTTTGGATTAAAATATCTGCAAGGCACTTGGAAATAACAAGTGTAGACCAATTGCTTCATTGCACAAAAGCATAATCAATGATGTCATCTCTTAGAATAATGCATAATGAATATAATGGAAAGTATTTGGTTTTGCAGCTTTTATTTGGTTTCACAGCTTTGAAGTGATATCTTGCTTTTGGCAAAGTAATTATTATTTCAATGTTTATAGAATCAAAATATTCCTGAACATGTAGCTGGAGAAAGTTTTAAAGGGATGAAATACTTCCACTCTACCTTCCCCCCCCCCTTAACTTACATCAAGGACATGGCATTTTTAGCAAATAACCTTTATCAGACCCACATGTATAGGGGATAAATATTCCAAGGATAGTTCATTAGAAAATGTAAGATAATCATTAAATCAAAGCCATAATGAAAACAGTCAACTAAATCACAGTTGCGTCACTAAAAGAAGAATATCTTAAAATCAGAATGCTACCACTACAATGATCTTATCCACACCTCAGATGAAGCTGGTAGTAAACTGATGTGAGCTGAAGGCAGGCCAACAAACACCTGGATGCTAGAGTTTATTGTACATTAAAAATCCAGAAACAAAATGAAGTGGTATGATTTGTCTACATAGCCTTAGTGTTGGGAACCAATCTAGAATTTGTATTGTATACTAGCTGAAATGTCTACCCTATCTTTAGTAGCAGTTCCACATACAATGTGTTGAAATATGTAAGTCTCAGAGTTACCAGGGGCATGGGTATGTAAAGCTGCAGTTCACGAGTGATAGTAACTTTGCTTGCGGAGGATGACATTCAGGATGATTGATTCTCTTTTTCTAAGAACTTGTGAAAGCCCAGGTCTGAATCTTTCTCCAAATGTTGATGCTTTTATTTCTGCTTGTTTTCTACTACCGTAGTTCAGGAAGATGGGAGTGAATGATAAGTACATTGTCATTCAGTCTAAGTCCTTGCAAAAAGATGCCAATAACTCAAATTAGTTAACTTAATTAAGTCATCTCTATCCTGGAGATTATTGGGTTTATAGCTCACAGAATTCTCGGTCTTCCTCATTTTTATGGTGATAACTGATTCAGATATTATATTCTATATGATGTAAACTGAGGTAACCACTGCTGGGTTTCTGACTCCCTTCTTCTTCACTGTTCAACTTTTAATGCAGAGGTCGTAATCTTGATATCAAAAACATAATCTCACCCAGGATCTTCATTTTGCATTCCACAGCATCATTTTTATGCCCATTTAGAGATGAATTTTAATACCACTGCTGGTGCTTTGCACAGGTGGTTATTTTATGAAATCCCCATTAAATCTAGGCCAAGGCATACGATCAACCTTAAACTGGCTGATACCTTTGTGTGGATAACACCCCCTTATCCACAAACTTTAACTGAGCCCTGGACAGAACAGCAGTTTAATTGTGGTTCCAAGTGTGATAGCAAACAAAATAGCTTACCCAGTACATTTCAGTTCATACATTTTGGCTCATCAGCCAAATGGTAGAGGCATGTTTTATTGCCATTTCTGTTGCATCAATCAAGCATGATTATTGCTGCTTTCAGATTTACAACAAGAAATTTATAACTTCAGATATGATTTATTCAAAATGTAATATGCCAAAGGAATCTATTTCAGTTTAATCTGCAGATACAGAGTAAATTAGTAATTACAAAGCTGCAGTTGTAATGGCATAGTGGGTTTGGAATAAGGAAAATATTCTTGCTGAGAAAACTATTGATACTTTTTTCCTGCTAATTTATCATTGTCTGTTCTCCCTAAAGGTGATTTTATAGATGTGGTTGATTTTAAAAAGAAACCCAACACATTTCAGTAATAAATAATTCTTAATACAGATAAGGCACAGAAGAATCTCAAGGCTACATAGAGCATTACATGCATCTAAATCACCAAATGTAATTCTCAGTTTCAAGGTTTTCAGGAGCATGAGTATAGACAGACTTATTTCTGGAAACCTGGAAACTAGTGCAGCATAGAGAACATTGACTGATAATCATGAATTAGATTATCATCTATTTTCTTTGCTTTTAATATTCTGATAGTTTTCAGAGTAATTGATATCCTAACTTTGAACAACAATCTATAAATGTAAAAGCCTGCTGCTAACATGCTGTTATTTATGCATGAACACTTTATACTGTCCCAGTCACATGACTTTGCTGATTAACATAAAATCAGTATATAAACCACCTCCCAAGAACACATTTTGATTGGCATTTCAAGTAGCTAGAGACTGACTGAAGCTCATGGTGGAGATGTATGGCCAAAATAAATAAGTTGCCATCTTTGGCAGAGTTGATTTAAAATAGAGCACTAATCAAAACTGATGCAATATATATTCTGAATGGGTGGTCTCAGTTAGAATTTTGACAGATGTATTTTGTGCCAACTGCAATTTCTGGATATTCTCCAAAGATAGTATACTTGAAATCATTTTTATCTGGTACCAATTTACAGCAGGTAAAAAAAAGTAAATTTCAATACATTGAAATTTAGAAGCAAAGTCAGATCCATTACTAAATGATGTACTGGAGTAGTAATCTCATGCAAGGCAAACTGAACTCATTTACATGTTGATGAGTGTACCTGGAGAGCTTGGGGTAGGATAAATTTATCTACCATTTCTAATTCATTATTGTCCTAAGACATCAATTCAGCTCTTCAAAAATCTTGGTGTGCAATGAAAAAGGGTAAAAGTTTGTTATCATTACGTATGAGGTGGCACTATACTCCAAATATACAACTAGTTTTCAACAAATATATATTAAAGACAATAGAACTCTCTGGAAAACGTGAGTCAGCAATAGGAAATTCATGACTACATACGGCTCTCAGGCTCTCTTTGGGTAGCCTGATAAAGATCTCAGCTTCTTGACCTTTGCCCATTATTTATTAGTTGAGCACTGGAAAAACCTGCTGTGTGCTCAGCTGTGTTCTTAATCAAAATCAGTAATAGGAATGTGGAAAATTTATGAGTTGGGGATATTGCATATTGGAGAAATGCAAGCATTACCATGTAATAATGACTGCATCAAGAGAAACAAAATCTAAAAATAAATCCATTTGGATAATTTAGACAAAGCTGCTTAGGTAGCTTATATACATGTCTGGAGTCAGGGATAAACCTTGGATTTCTGCCCTTGTGTAAAGCATTTAATTACAGCTTATAAAACTATTATTCTAATAATTGATTTCATGAGGATCAAAGAGTTCCAAGATTCCAGATATGACATCTATTTCTGGTGTCCTGCATTGACTAATTGTACATTTTACCTAGCAAGAACGTTTGCACACCTAAAATCCTGTTATCACTGGGTGAATGAATACATGCTCAGAAACTGCCTTCATAATATGATTAATATTTTGCCTTTAAGTTGCAAAACAGGCCAGCTTGACCCTGATTGCCTACCATTTATTAAACTTTATTAAGATTGCTTTATCCTTCTCTATTGCTGTTAATAAAATACTAGAGATTAACATGATAATTAAAATTGCCTCTCATAGGATACAATGGATTTACCAATCAATCACTTCTCTAGCTTTCAACTGCAAATTCAGGCTTCAGCTGATATAAACAATGTAAATCAGGGAAGGGGAAGAGCAACTTCAGATTTCTAACCTAATTTTTGTTTGAAATCAGTGTTATCTACCTGCAGAAAACCAGCCACAAAACTTCTGTGTCACAGTTGGAAAAGAAACCTCAGTGGAAAATTGCTCTGTTCTTAGAAAAGCTGAGAAGTAAACAGAGAGATATTTTGCCAGATGTATTTTAGAGACCATAAAAGGGGGGGGGGAGAACCAATTTCATTGTTATTCTTGATAACATTTAGGCTCTCCCCATTTAAAACAGTTAGAATCACTTATCTAGATTCTTAGCATACTGTATAAGCATTGGGTAGATTTGGGAGAGCAAAATCTTACTTGCTTCAGAGCTTTCTAGGGAAGGTTACAAATAAAATTTTCAATATACCGTATATTTTATTCAAAATAAATCTATTATTAATATTGAAAATGCCTCTTATGTTCAATTTCCCACATAGGAGTTATTTTCTGAATATACCTATACATTCCAAGTGTGCTTCTAACCTAAAAAGATTGCTGCAGTTGTTAAAAAAAAATCCAGTACAATTTACATTTTATCTGGGAAAAATGCCTTCCTAAATATGGTTGATTTCATCACTGGAAAAGCCCAAAATAAAATGTACAAACTTAGTTTCCTAAGCACATGTTCAATAGTTTAGGTCTAGCTATTGGAAAGCTTAGTCTTGCAAATAATTAAAGAAATAAAAATGGCATGGACATAACTATTGTACCCCAACTTTTGAGGCAATAACAGCAGTCTCTTTTGAGGCAATAACAGCAGTCAAAAACTTTCCGTAGCTCTGAATATGCCTTTTATACTTCTCAACAGCAATTTGTCCCACTCTGTGTCCCACTCTGTAGCAGTTGACTTGACATCTCCCAGTTTAGATGTTCTATTGGCTTCAGATCAGGATGTTTGGCAGGGCACTTCAGAAAAGTCCAGAGTTTGATTTAAGACCATTCTTGTGCTCTTTTAGATGTATCTTTGGGTCATTCTGTGGAGGACCTATGACCTGTGACTGAGACAGAGCATTCTAACATTAAGGATTATGTTTAGTTCCAGAATGCCTTGATATGTTCGGATTTTATTGTGTCCTGCCTAGATTCAATGCATCTAGTATTGGAGACAATAAAACAGCACCATAACATTATGGAACCTTCTCAATTTTTCACAGTAGGACTAGTGCTCTTTTCTTTAAAAGGATCGTGGTTTTTTTTTCTTCTGTGAACATTGAGTTGCTGTGACTTACTAAAAATCTGTACTGTAATTTTGTTTCATCTGTTCCAAGGACATTTTCCCAGAAGTACTTGTCAACATGCAGTTTAGCAAACTCCATCTAGGTTTTTTTGTGACTGTCTTTCAGAAGTGAGGTCTTCCATGCTCCTATGGAGGCCACTTTCAGAGGGTCAGCACTGGAGTGTGAGACTTGATATTGTTGTACTTTGATCTTGGAACTCAGCTTGAACAGATTTGAAAATCAAACTTGTTCGTGTATGTAAAGTGGAAGAAAATGACACGTTTCACTTTTTCCCTTTTCAGCAACTGGACTTAAATTTTTTAATAAGTTTTGCAGCTTTCTTTTAACTTGTTTTCAGTCATTTTGCAACTTTGTTTCTACCAGAATAATTTTTTATCAAATGATGATAGTGCATAAGATGAATATTTAACCAAGTGTTAAGTTTGGAAAGCAAGAACAGAAATATAAACAGTCATTCCAAATTCCTGAATGTTTTGCATTCATGTACTCTCCTTTATACTGACTAAAGTAACAGTTTGGGGGAGAGAGGGGAGAGACTAATAAAAAAAATTAAGTCTGGAGTTTGTATTCCTGGAAAAATAGACATCCATATTTTTTTTCTATTTCTTAGCTCCTGAGGTAAAAAATCATCAGCTTTTAAATCTTTTCAAATGGAGATTGTATTGGAAGATTAAACCTTGAACATAATATTCTTTAAGAGCTATGTATAAGAGGTAGCATATGAAGAAATGCAGATCTAATAAGAATACATACAAAGATCTCATTCATTATTTATTTCAATTCATTTATTTGTTACATTATGATAAAGTAATACAAAAAGAAGACGAAACCACATTGAAATACCACTTCCTTTGCTTCAGATATCACAATCAGAAAATGCATTTCTCTATAAGTGTAAGAATTCCTCAGAAATCAATGTGCCAGATATTTTTTTTAAATAATATTTTATTGGTTTTCCAATTTTACATTTGAGTATTTGGAAGGCAACATGGTGATTGGGTTAATCAATAGTTCAATAACAAAATCTTTAGTAAATATCTCAGGTTACATCATCAAATATTTCTTCTCTGTTTCCCTTAACATTTGCTATATCATATTTAACTTAGTAAATTTCTAATTATATCAAATTCAGTGACAACTTCATTATCACATTTATCAATACATTTTTGCTTATACATATCTTAATAAATCTTTGTGAACAATCCATATCCTGTTATTAAGTTTTACCTAATTTTTGGTTTTTAATTACCATACTCTAATTTAACATTTAATATCCATAGTATTTGAGTTTCGGATGACCCAAATTTCCTTTGTCTCAATTTGCCAGATATTTAAATCTAATAACGAGAATCATTTTTTTAAAAATTTCCTCAGCCTTTTCTCCAAGTTCTTCCTGCAAACTCTCAAGTCAGTACATTGTTCAAGATCATATGGCTGTGCACTACAGAAAACTGCTTGCTGCCAAAGGTATTTGCTACATAAAATATTTTTTCTTCTAAGGCATCTGACAATTGTAGTTTAGTGTGGATTCAGTTTAACAAAACGTGTGCATCATTGATCTTTCTCAAACCCAAATATCTTAATATTGTTTTTTAAAAGATCACTTCCAAATATTGTATAATTATTGGTTTTGTCTAGAAAGTTGTAAAATGAGTTCTGTGTTATCTTGAGCAAAATCTGTAGTCTGTTCAATGCCCACTTCTTAGGGAGTTTGTGAAACGTTTAGCCTAAGCTAACCTAAGCTTTCTGTTTTTGTCTTTTAAGATTTAAGTAGTCTTCAATTTATGACCACAAATGAGCATAAGATTTCTGTGTTAAATGAGACATTTGTTAAGTGAATTTTGTCTCATTTTATGACGTTTCTTGCCACAGTTAAGTAAATCACTGCACGGTCATAAATCACTTTTTTTTCAGTGCCGTTATAACTTAGAACATTCACTAAACGAACTCTTTTAAGTCCAGGATTGCCTGTAATTGTTACAGTCAGTTAATAAAAGGAGCACGATAGCCTTATATTTTACCATTATTCTTGTGACATTTTTGTTCTTCAAGTTACCAGATAAAGAGTCCCAATTCTATGGTAGTCTGAGATCTTGGACTTGTGGTATTCTGTAGTGTTGCTTTTATTATTTTTTTTATAAGTCTCAGATTTTATATGGTCTTGAATGTCATAAAAGCACCAGAAGGGATATGGAGCTTGTCCGCTGATTCAGCTTGGTAATAGCATCAAACAATTCCCCTTAAAGAAGAACCATACAGAAAGCTGAAGTGCATTTTTTATACTTTGGACCATTATTTTTTAAAAAATGCTGTCAAGCCAACGAGTTCCCTGTTTTTGCTTTCTGTTTGAAGTAACCTTTAAAATTCATAGCAAAGAAACTCTGTTGACTGAAAGCAAAAGAGCCAAGCTCCCCCCGCTCAACCCCGGTGGATTCATCAGTGTATAAACAGATCTGAACTACCAGAAACCATTTTAAAGTTGAGTTCTCTGCTATTTTAAAGTTAGATTCTCTGCTACGTCGAGTGGCTTGCTCTCAGTATACCTGCATGAAGTAGAATAAAAGACAACAAAAAAATGGGAAAATTAATTCAAGAGTACTTTATAACCTTCAGCATTCCAGCATTATTATATTTATTTAAGCAGTTTATCTACTGCCTCAGTTGTAGTTTTCTCTAAAAGGTAGATATTAATAACATATAAAATAAATTCTAATTAATGGTACAACTGGTGCAGAGAGCCAGTTTGGTCTAGTGGTTAAAGCACCAAACTAGAAAGTAACAGGCGGTGAGTTCAATTCCCTCCTTAGCTATGGAAGCCAGCTGGATGACTTTGGGCCAGTCACTCTCCTAAGCCCAGCCCACCACACAGGGTTGTTGTTGTGGGAAAAATAGGAGGAAGGTGTGTTGGATATGTTCTCTGCCTTGAATTATTTGTGAAAATAATAAAGGCAGGATATAAATAAACTTACACACATGCATATGTATACATGTATACATGATTTTATTAGTCTATTAGTCTAGTTCTATACGCCCCTGTAGTCATTCTCAAGGCGTTCTGCAAAAACCGTTTTTTCCCTCTAGAGACCATAAGAATGGATTCTTCCTTTGTTTATGGGTGGGGGCCGGCTGTTCTATGGGAGAGGAGTTGCCCCAGACAATGCCTGTGGTACCATTGCACCTATAGGGACTTCTAGTAGATATTCCCTGGCAGTCTGGCTCAGTTAGACATAATCTTGCTGGAAAAGGTAGTCTCTTAGCTAGACACCAAACCATATAGGGCCGTGGTGGTGAACCTATGGCACGTGTGCCACAAGTGGCACGCAGAGCCCTCTCTGTGGGCACGGGTACCGTCGCCCCAGTCCTAGGCCTTCAGCTGGGTTTTATAAAACCTTTTTGCTTTAGGCCTCTGCCGCCATGTGCAAAAAAAAAGGTTCAATCAATCAATCAATTTCAACTTCTCGCGGGAAAAAAAAAGATCTCGCAAAGTTGGAATTCATTGATTGAACTTTTTAGTCCCACCCAGTCTGCCATTACTACTGAAGCCATGCCCACCCAATGGGCCACGCCCACCCAATGGGCCACGCCCACCCGGCACCCGATGATACATAAGTGGGTTTTAGGTTGCAATTTGGGCACTCGGTCTCAAAAAGGTTCACCATCACTGATATAGGGCTTTAAAAAGATAGCAAACAGAAACAGAAACACAATGACATCTATTATAGCAGTGGTTCTCAACCTGTGGGTCGGGACCCTATTTGGGGTCGATCGACCATTTCACGGGGGTCGCCAAGCAAGGCTGTCCGCCATTTTTTTTGTCCGCCATTTTTTTCCCCTTTTCTGGCGGGTGCCTTACCTCCCTTGGGCTGGGCCAGCTGGTGGTTGGCCTGCTACGACTCTGCTGCTTGCCAGCTATGCCTCGGCCAGCGCAGGGGGCGGAACCACGCATGCGCGGCGCTCCCAGGCAGGGAAAGTCCTCGACTTACGACCGGTTGGGTAGTCCTCGACTTACGACCGGTTTAGTCCTCGACTTACGACCGGTTGGGGTCGCGGCATTAAAAAGGTTGAGAACCACTGTATTATAGGTTATGCAGAAGCAGTATAACAGGGCAGGCCTGTGACTGGTGAACATGGGCTGCTGCATTCTGGACGAGCTAAAGTTTTTCGGTGGTTTCTAAGGGCCGTCCCAAGTCCTTGCATTATTGCACTAGCCTAATCCAGCGATGACAAAGATCCCAGTGTCTGTCCTCATACTTCCCATTCTGATAAAACATTCCAGGAGGTAAAATGTTTAGGGATTATTTCCTGACACAGTGAGTTTTCAAAGCTGATTTCTTCATTGCTCCCCTAATGAAACTGCTTTCAACTTTTCAAACCTTGTAATCCAGTTCTGAGTTATACTGAAGAAACTAACATTGCATTCAAATATGTGAGGTGGGTCACTAAGCAAAATCTCTGCCAGAAAAAGTTTACGTAGCATACAGAAATATGATTTCTTTTTTATAATCCTATGTAGATCTCTGAAGGGTATGAACAAAACAGCATATTAATAATACATTGTCTCCGTGGGTGTTCTGTTTGTTTCATGGACTACAATCATGCAGAAAAATACATATTTGCTTATGTATAGGTATGCTTTGGATTAGGAAGACATTTTTTTCTTCTGGCTTAGTTGGTTTACCATGATTTTACAAAACTATACATGTTCTTCTGTTGGTCTGTGTGAACTGTCCTATATTATAAGACGGAAGAAATGATAGTAGTCTTTGTTTCCTAGAGAAACAAGAGAACACCCTGCAATATAGGATTCTCTAAAGCAAAGAGCCATAGAAGATGGGTGGAAGAGGGAAACCAAGTTGGCTTAAGCAGCAACTGGGAGTGTGACTCCTATGACCTGTATTTGACACTACTTCTGTTTTTCCTCTTCTATCAAAATAAAGCCTTGCCCTGGCAGGAGAATCCGGATTCTTATTTATTTATGTAATCAAGGTTCAAGGCCATTTCAACAACTTGACAACTCCTGGCAGCTTACAAATAAAAGAAAACCATTTGCAAACAATCAGGTCACCCTTGTGAAAAGAATGCTCTCCACCCCCTTCCCCGGGGAACCTTCTAGGCTGTATAAAAGAAAGAATAGGTGACGTGTCTAATAAAAAAAAGAAGAGGGGATTTTTTAATCCATTTGGGCTCTGATTCTATACATTACTGGCTTAGATTGTATATACACTGATCACAATTTATTTCTGAAGAAATGTGGATCTCCTCAAAACTAAAAGAAGAAATTCCTAAATATTTTATAGAAGATGTTGACAATCTGCTCAGGCACTTCCCTGCTCTGTGATCCTGTGGTGCAAAAGCAGGAAATGGAAATCATCACTAATTTATGGTAGCAACTTTGGAGGGGACCCCAAGGACCCACTTTCTGGGAGGCTGCACATAACCTTGTTTTAATTAATTAATTAGAAGAAAGTATTCCCTTTGAGCCACAAAGGCTTTCA